CAGGAAACACATCCATATAAACACATCCCTTGGTGTCAATGCTCTGGTCTTCTACCTTTGGTGTAAATGAGTAAACAGTATTTCAGGCTAAGATACTGACTGACTAAATCATATTATACAACTTTTGAAAATTTTGGAAACTGAAAGTCAAACTGAAAACAGCTACATTACTAGGTTATTTCTGAAAATTGCAAGATATTTGTTTAATATATTTAATATTTCACTGTGTTTTTTCCATCTGCAGTCACTACAGCAATTCATTTATTTACCCGATAAATTGGATCATTATGTCAAATGCTCTTCCTGTTGGCATGGGCCTCAGTATCAAAGACTATTCTTGTTAAAACAAAAAACAGCGATCTACTCAAATCATATATATCAAATTGTGCAGAAATCCTAAGAGAATATACACTATATACACAGCCTGACATAGCCTTTTACACTCAAGTTGGTAATTTCTGCACATGGAGAGAGAAAATGTCAAAAGGGGAGAGTGGGTGGTCTTGGTGTGAAGACCTGAGGGCCGGTGCGTTCAGGCGTGCTCCGTGACCAGCCTGAAGGAGGGTTCTAGCGCCCTGGGGTGCTATCACTGGTGCGGGAGAAGCAGAGGCTTGGGGGGGGGGGGGGGGGGGGGGACTGCGGCCTGTGTGTGTCTGTCAGCGGCTGCAGTGACTGAAGTGGCACCAGCTGCCACATGGAGAGGGATCATAGTTTCACTGCACATGAGCAGAGCATTTCAGCCTGACAGCCGGTTGTATGGTGAGCTATAAGAGCTGAATATGCAATAACGTTGAGGTTATAACGACTAAGAGAGTTTTTTTTATTATCACAAAGCAGTCACACTCCTGAATTCTCACCAAAAGCACAATAGATGCACTACAATGTAATGTAATATAATGTCATTAATGTATACGTATACAAGCAATAGCAGCTTTATACAGTCTCACATACTGTATATGCATATATTTTGTGTTATAAATATTATTACTGGTTAGATCAGGCATGGGCAAATTTTTACTCCTGGGGGCAACATTAGAATATTCATCTGCTGTCAGAGCCGGACCTAATTTCCAATGTTATTCTCAGGCTTCATTTTTAACAGATAAATATATTGTATTAAAATAAATGTTGTGTCAGAGCGAGGAGTGTGACTGCGGTTCCAGTGCTCTAGCAGCACATGGGGATTTCATTGTCTTTATACTATATCTGTATAAACTGATGAGGGCTCAGGATGGCTTCAAAGGGCCGCTGTTAAACTGCATTTCGTTGCATTGTTCTGACATTGTAATGACAATAAAGTTGATTCTATTTTAATCTAATCTCATATGAAACTAAAATCTAATATTATGTATGGATAACAGTGAAGGCAGATAATACTACAGTATGTACGCATTAAGTAAAATACTAACACTAATGTATACTAAAAATGGTCTCCCAAATAAAATAGCATAATTTGAATTAGAATATTGTTTTCCCTATGGACCAGTGGCTCCTGTGTGTTTGTTATTTTTGTATTTCCTGTGTTCAAACGGTTTGATTCTCTGATCTGTTGTTGGTGAATCGACAATGTTGTAAAGTCCACCGAGATGACTGCTGTTGTGAGTCAAGGCAGCACACAAATTATTTGAATTGAATTGAAAAGACGATTTACTTCTGAAATTCAACTTACAATGTGACTCTAATAAATGATGAACTAATTTCACACTAAGGGACATATGGCAAACCTTTATATGTTATAATGTTGATCATTGGCTCAAAGCTGTAAAAACCACCAAAAAACATCCCAGGAGTTTTGAATATTTTGAAAATGGACAATAACCCACAACCATTAAAATGATAATGAACAAAGGCTTGGCATATGTCACTCTACAGGAAATGAGTCTGACCCTTATATCGGTATCATATTTTAAATGGAATTACTGAAATAAATGAACTTTTGAACAATAATCTAATATTAGATGTGTCTTCTAGTTTTGCCCAATAAGATAAGATAAGATAAGATGTACTTTATTAATCTCACATTTACATGTCACATTGGCAAGGATAGGAACACTCAAGAATTGTGCAAAAAGTAAGAAATGTGTAACATGTTAATGCAGGACATATTATGTACAAACAAGTGGCAATTAGAAAGTGGCAATCATGAAATAAGTGTCAATAGTAGTGCAGGTTTTTTTTTCAGTCATAGTGCAGTGACTATGAACTGGACATTCAGGTCATATCGAATGGAGAAGAGTCTAATGCTGTGAAGTGCATCACACTGGTCAAAGTGAATGATTGCCCCTTCAACAGTGGGGGTATTGTACTCATATTCGTGTGTGTGTTTGCCCAAAGGTGAGATGAGCCGTGGAGTTGGCAGGGCATGTGCTCTCCGAGTGCACACATTTCAAAAAGTGTTTTTATGTTTGTTCGAGCCTTCAAAGTACCTGAAGAGAAGGTAAGACTCAGGGAAGGCTAAACTCCTCAGACTGTCAGTCAAGCTGCATAGGGAGTCAGTTTGCTGGGAGAAGTATGGTAACTTGAGCACTATCCTCTCCTCCTTCCTACTTTATCTGTTTAGCATTTTTAGGATTTTGACTGTAGTTTGTTCATTGCTATTCACCCGTTGTCCCATTGTCTGTTTCATGGTACGATGACGGGATCTCTGAGCCTGGCCTCCTCCATCTACACCTGCGGACTGCCCCGCCCGACCCGCCTGGGAGTGCTACAGTCCTGCACCGGACCTGTCCACGTTCAGCGGCCACTGGTCCACGTTCTGTAGCTAGCTTAGGTCCTAGATCATTAGCCTGTCCGTCCGGAGGAGCGGATCCCTTTCTCAAATGGGTCTCCCTCTCTGTGGGTTTCCCTAGTTCTCCCCAAGGTTTCTCACTTTTTCCCACTGGGTTTTTTAAGAGTTTTTCCTTGACAATGCAGGAGGGTCTTGTTGGACAGTTAGTGTCCAACAGAAAGGATTGGTGATGATCAGGACACTTTAGCATTCTACAACATGTATGGACATTTTCTTCTGTGTGTGCTTTATATTTTTCATGTGTTTTAACTGTTGATTCTCTGACCTGTGTTAGTGATTTCAATGGTTTTGTTAAGTCCTCTGAGATGACTTCTGTTACCTAGGGCTATACATGAATAAATTGTATTGTATTGTATTGTATTGTATTGTCTGTAAGTAACATATCAATATTGTTAAAACTGGGGTGCGTAACTTTTTTATTTTGTTTCTCAAATGCATTTTGATTGTTCTAGCAAAAATAGTTTTAATTAAAGCCGCAAGCGGCGTTGAACGGCCCTCGCCGCACCGCACGCACCACCCCGCACCAAGCCGCCCCGCACCAAGCCGTCCCGCACCAAGCCGCCCCGCATCAAGCCGCCCCGCACCACGCCGCCCCGTACCACGCCGCCCCGTACCACGCCGCCCCGTACCACGCCGCCCCGCACCACGCCGCCCCGTACCACGCCGCCCCGCACCACGCCGCAACGCGCCGCACCACACCGTACCACGCAGCACCGCGCAAAGGAGGTGGGGCCGCTGTTGCCATAGACGAACGTTAGTCAAATTGTAATGAATATGATGATTAGAGCTGTTTGGCACCCCATGTAAAACTTTGCCTCAATCTGTAGGGGGCGCTAATGGGCCAATTTCAAATATTTCACTTTCACCTGACCTAAACCCTGCAGTTGAACCATGGATTCAAGTTTTGTGCAAATCAGACTTGTGCAAACGGGAGCAAAATTAAAGTTGTGAAAAACGGCCCAAAAACATTTTGCCGCTCCGCTGCTCAAACAACGTTTCACTGATCAAAAATCTCTTTGGTCATTTTGAAGGTACATGTGTTGAGATGATGTGGAGCAATTTTGAGGCAAATCGGTGAAACGGCCAAGGAGGAGAAGATTTCCAACCGACATGTATGAAAATGATTGCGGATCATTTTTCCATTTTGCAGTGAAATTTATGGGCCTCCTGTTTGTCAGAGGGCGGAGCCATGATAAAATTTTGGTCGTATCTTGACTTGAGGAACATGTGTACCGAATTTCATGGCTCTACGACAAACTTGACCTCTGAAACTCCCATTGGCTGTTGTAGGTGGCGCTGTTCTGGCATTTTTTGAGTCCCATAAAAATAAACACCAAAATATCAAATTTTTTACCAGGTCTGATGTTTGGGCAAAATTTTACAACTTTTCATGCATGTTCAGGGGGTGAAATTAAGGCTCAAAGTGCAGAATTTGACATCTCTCGAGCAAAAACAATAGGCCCTTTGCCCGCTCGGGGCTCGGGCCTAATTAAGTAACATTATGTGAAAAAGCTAGACTACAATGTACTGTCTTTACCTTCATTATGCTAAAGTTTCCTCATTATTAAAGACAGAGATTTTTTACTGTTTCTTTTTATCCTGGTTTATGCAAGTTAGAGATTTCATTTTATTTTAGTACAGTTATTATTCATTAATCTCGTGCTGTGGTCTTCTCATTCCTACTGTCTGTAACTTGTGATGCAACAGTGAAATTCCCCACTTTTATCTTCATTGCAGAAAACATTTGATCTTTGATTTGATAGTTGGGACTAAAAAGTTAGGTACTCCAGCTTTAATCTATCATTGTACTGGGGATTCCTGCAGCCTCGTACTCTGATGTGTTTAAAGATTCCCTCTGATATTTTAAAAGCACTAATCACTTTGGCTTATCCACATATGACCCATTCAAAGAAGCTCTTGTGTGTAATGTGCTGTACTGATGCACCTGCTCTGTACCCAGATAGAACCCGCCTCCTTCCAGCCTCACCCAATCATGATGTACTTAGATGAGGGGAGTCCTGTAGTTTGACACCCCTGTATGTTGGGTGAGGGTATGAAGCCGCAGAAGTAGGTCATACGTTCCCATTGACACATGTTGAAGATTTACATCTGTGGAGAATTTGCTTGGAGATTGCATTATTGAAGGAGAATATTTTTTTCTTTCTTCTTCTGTATTTGACTCATCATGCTGAAGCAACTGCCTTGTGTTCATATGGAATCTGCCCCTTTCCGCACTCAGCCAATCAGGAGAGACGCAGAGGGAAAAGCTGCTCGGTTTGAGCTGGAGCGCCGGGCGTGCCAGAGTCTCCGAAAAGGTGGGACTCATATTTTAATGTTCTGTTCTCAAATAGTTTCACATTTTCAGATGCAGCAGACCTTTGCAGACAACCTACAGTGCACAGCAAAACAAAAAAGGTAATAAAATCTTGACTCAAGTATTTTAATCTTAATTTGAGCACATTTTGACTGTCTAAAAACAAGATTTGCCAATGGGACAAGCAAAAATTGAAGAAATGGCTTTCTTGTAATGAGAAAAAATTGCAACACCACTTAAAATAAGACTAAACAACTTGTTTTGTCAGAATATATTCAAATTTAGATAAAAACCCCTGACTCAAGCATTTATTACCAAATATATATATATTTTTTTGCATTGTCTTGCCCTTTCTAAGAGAGGTTTTAGAAAGTGAAGCGGTCTTGACACAAAAATAGAAATGGGAGGAAATACCATCTTCTCACCAGAACTAAGAGAACAAAGACTACATTTTGTCCACGGCCGCAGGTTTTCATGTTGTACTGTACAGTAACACTTCACCAACAGCTGATAGAGTAAGTAAGTAAGTAAGCTTTATTTATATACCGCCTCTCACAGACCAGAGTCACAAAGCGGTTTACAATTGTTATTTTTGGGCACTTGTCCTCTCACTCCACACAGAGATGGGAGCGGGGTCGCCGAACAGGAGGCGCATGCCAGAACTATTGTACATATTTCTAGTGGTAGGGGAAACCGGAGGAAACCTACGCAGACACAGGGAGAACATGCAAACTCCACTCAGAAAGGCCCTGGTCCGACCGGGATTTGAACCCAGGACCTTCTTGCTGAGAGGCGAGAGTGCTATCCACTCAGCCACCGTGCCGCCCACGGAAAAAACAAAGCAAATAGAAAATAAGTTAGCATTGTGAATAACACAATTTAACTCTGAGGATGCAAACATGAACTGCTTCTATGTCGGGACCAAGCCCCTGCGATCCAAGATGGCGTCCTATTCAAATCAATGGCTTGTGCTCAGTGGCGCATGTGTCACCATGGGAACCGAAGGATTAGCACGTGCACATTAGCAGGGGCTCGGCCGCGCTCTGACCAGTCAGAGCTGTTGATTAGAGCTGCTGATCAGAGTGGAGCTAGAGCGGGAACCGAAGGAGCAGAGTTTGTGGCACTAAAGTGTGGATTTAAAGTTTAAGAAGAAAAAAAGTTCAGGATGACAAGGGACACTAAAATCCCCACAAAATCCGACCTTTATGCAAGCTGTAGGTTCTCTGTCAGCTGAGGTTGAGCTGTTTTAGTTTACATTGAGTTCTATGAGGAAAATTTTTGGGTAGTCCACGTGAATTTAGTCTTGTTTAGTCTGCAGTATAGCAAGAATCACCCGAGCACATGGGTCCTTCAGCTTCAAGCTAGTAATACCCTATTTAGATATTATAATAGATCCATGGTCGGGACTCATTTACCAATCTATTTTGACAATAAACATTTGTTCTATAGCTATCAAACCTCGAAGGAGTCCAAGAAACTCTACTCTGACTATAGCCCTAATCACTTAAATAATATAAAAATCCACTGTCTTTTCTGTCTGTCCTCGTGTTGTATGTTTGCTGTTAACACAAACATAAACCACAGTTGATTGAACCCAGGAGATGCAAATGTATAGATTGGCTGCATTGCTGTACAGGCCGCAAACTTTAAAGAACTGGAAAAAAGTAGTGGCTTATCATCCAGCATTTACGGTATTCGCGTAAGAGTGCTGATACACTGTAAAATATCTGGGTTTATGAGATGGGGTTGAGTGCGGTTACAACGCAGCCTGAAAATAGAGCAGTGACACAGAGGGTAGCGTGTGTGTGTGTGTGTGTGTTTGGGGGTGTGTGCCTTGGGTCACTAAGTGCAGCAATGCTCTAATGTGTAAACACTGGGCAATATGATCTCAAAAAGCAGTCAGCCAGAGAGTAATTAAAGACTTCCATTTATACTCTTACTAGTAAGTGGGATATTAACCAGTGGCTATAAACCACAATTCTATAAAGTCATAACAAATCTAATAACATTTGTAATACTGCTTTAAACCACAGTTGCAGGCATTACCCAGATACACAAATAGCACTACATTTCAGTAGTAAACTTTAGAGTGGAGGGTCAGCTTCAAATTCTTTATCTCTATCAATATATGTCTTTCTAACAATATTTTTTGTTTGTTTTCTTTAAAGACAAAATACTTTTTTTTTTTTTTTTTAAACCAGTATCAAAAGTAAACTATTATAAATGCTATCAGCCTGCACTATCCCTATGCTACCACCAGTGGGAGAAGTAGAATTTGTTTTGATTTTTCAACATTTGAAAAATACCACCTGCAAACCAGCTGATAGCAAATAATACCTGGCAAAATGTCCAAACCAATTTAGGGGAATATTTTCTTGAAACTGCTCTGAGTGTGATGTCATAGTGATACAATGACATCGTACTATTACACAACTGAGGCAGGAGCTTTTAGACAGAAGGGGGGGAGTTACATATTGTGCCAGAAGTTCTCGGTATTAGCATGGAGGGATATAAAGACTTCTCTAGGTCTGTAAAAGGATTAACAGCTCAAAAATATGACCCCACAGAAAAGACTGCAATTCAGACATCAGAGTTCATCTAACTGGAAAACATTGTATTTTCATCATTCTTGTGGGAATCCCTTAGAGTGAAATGATGGGTTGGGAGAGCTGATTGACTGAGTGAATGATAGAATAGATCAGTGGTTCCCAAAGTTGGGGGCAATTGCAGGGTTGCGCGCGGGATGAATGAATGAACGAAAATACAGTAGTCTTAATGACAGTGCTCGCATAAGATGGACACATTTTTGACACATTACGATCTGCAGTTAGGGCTGTGGTTTATATTAATTACAATGTGTGAAATAAACTTCAATGGAGTCTGAAAACAAAATTTGTATGTATGACCTTTTGGGGGGGCTTGCTATCACCAATTTCCATGTGTGTATGTTTTCTGATTTGTTCACAAAATGTTACTTTTACGTCCTGTTGTGATAAGAAATATCTAGGAGACAAAGTGAGGCATCTTAGCTATTCTGACACTGATAGATGATAGATTACCAGGAGGAAGGATTGACTTGTTTTTGGTAACATTGTTTTGCTTATGTATTTGCGCATACAATAATGTTTGACACTCAATTATGAAATGAGCATTCAAAGTACTATAATTTTCCTCTAGAACACACGCACGCACGCACGCACGCACGCACGCACGCACACACACACACACACACACACACACACACACACACACACACACACACACACACACACACACACACACACACACACACACACACACACACACTTCACAGAGACAAGACATAGGCCCAAAACACTCATGACCCTACACCTTTCTCTCCTCACTCGCTGTGTGTTGAGGGCATAATTGAATATTTATTTTTAAACAGTTGAAAATTGAATTCAATTTAAACACGTTCCCAACATTTGCCCCAAGACATGGTGCAGTGCAGGAGCTTTGGTGTGTACTACCTGCTCTCTCTGCTGCACACGGGGGAAGTCTTGTACAGATATTCAAATGTGGTTCTACTGCAACTATCAAATAAACTGTATCTGAATCTGAGGCTCACTCCATGCACAGAGATATACATTTTAATGCGGTTCTAAATTTAGTTTTATCAACATAAAAAACAAAAACAAAATCCCCCTTAGACTGTGTCCATGGATTGCATCTCTGTCATGGAACAAGTTTAGTAACTGAGGCTGCAGAAATCTGATCAACAGGGCATTGTCCTTCAGCATTTACTTCATCGTTGCTTTTTATGCTTAGCTGTTCAACTAACTCAGTCTCTACCATCACTGCTCCTCCTCCCTCTCACATCCATCATGTCATATCAGACCCAGCTCTTGTTCTCTCACTCGGACACAACAGTCCATCATTGTGTGAGCGGCGAAGCCAAGGGCAGCTCTGCGTTCCCTTTTCCTTCTCACAAACACTTAGTGGCCTTCGTGGTGTTTCCCGGCCATCGCTTCGGGAGGAGGTATCACCGATGGCAGACGTAGAGTGGCCGCAGCAGCTGTGGTCGTCCTGGTCGTATTACCTCAAGTCTGCATCGGAGGGAGGTGGGGGGTGGGGGGCGTGATGGGGGCCGCGTCAGCACATTGCATCACTTCTACAGGATCGTCAACGCTTGACATGATGGCGAGAGAGCGTCACACCTCTTTGGCTTGTGTTACATGGGTCTCCAACCTGTAGCTCGCCACCCTCTTAAAAGTAGCCCCCCCAAAAGATAATTGTAAGAGTAAATATAAAAACGATACTAATTTCTTATGGTCTCTTTTCATTTCTTTTATGGGTATAACACTACATTACGATTGAAAACAGAAACATAGATTGTCAATCAAAAGATCAGTCGAACACATAACTACCAACTAAATTAGCTAAAACAACCAAAAAAAAAACATACTTGAATGTACAAGATTGTTCCAATGTTCTTTCTGATGTACCAGGGCATTACATTCAACTTTCTCTCAAGTAATAACGATTCGATTTGTCCCAATAGAAAGTTATTCAGAGAACTAAACTGTTTTAGAGCCAGGAATGTGTTAGACGGATTTTATTACATACAGTATAGTTCCATTTTTTTTGGTTTGATAATTAGGTACGCCAGCTTTAAACTACTACAACAAGTATCCAATTCATACTTGTATCAGCAAATATTGATGATAAAGGACAATCAAGACGATGTAGAAGTTTTAGGATGACTCATTTTCAACTTGATTCGCTAACTTGCATTGTGTTGTATTGGTGTGTATTACCATCTACAAAACACATGATTTTGTGTAACAAGTAATAATTATCGTATTTTCTGGACTATAAACCGCACCTGGATATAAAATGCAGGCTCTAATTTCTAGAGAGAAACTAAATTTTGTATTTTTTAACAAGCTGCACTGGATTATAGGCTTATGACATCATATGATTTTTTTCTAGTATTTTCCCTGTTGACGAGGGTGAGTACAATTGACTGTTTGACATAGTGATTGACATATCATATCACAATTTAATTGGATCTCTGTGAAATCCAGTTAGTCTATTGTTACTTGACAAAAAAAAAATTTGACAACACAAAATAAAGAAAAATTAATCCGCACCTTAGTATAAACTGCAGCGAAAAGTGCAGAGAAAAAACTGCGGCTTATAGTCCGGAATTTACAGTATATTCATGTGAATCAAAATCAAAAACGATCTGGCTAGAAAGGACCTCCACACAGATATGAACAGTAAATATTCAAACACTAATATTCTTGAACAGAAGATGACCCATTTCTTTCACTATTCACAGTAAATAGCCACTAAGTTCCACCTCAAACGTTCGGGGAAAAAAACAAACAGATTCTGCACCTCTCACAGTTGGGAAAAGCCATGCCCCACTAAAGCGCTGGTAAATAAACACACATTGTTACATATAATCACAACAGATTTTTATACACACCTCCTGTTGTTTATTTCACTTACTCAGGAACAATAAACTTTTACTCGTGAAGGAATAATGGAAGCTTTGTCTCATTGTAGTTCTCCAGCTGAAGCTTGAGCAGAGAAGAACTCGAGAAGAGCTGGTCAACCAGGGCATCATTCCACGTAAGTAAGACAACACTCGTCTATGTTGTAAATAACAGATCCAAATAGAAACCTGTTCACTATTTAAATATATCCTTTCTAAATGTAACTGTCCCCTGGATCCTCGTCACATCTTTATTTACCTTCTGTAGTGCTTGCCAACTCAAGACAAGGCAAAAGTAAGTAAGTGCAGGGTTGCCAAAAAACCCCACAAAAGATTATCAAACTTATCCTCAAAATGCACCTCGAAAGTTACACCCAAGGCAGAAATTTAGTTTTTTTTTGGACTGGATTTGGGAGATTACGAATGATAACGTAAACTGTTATTTCAGTCATTGTTAGGGGTTTTGTGAAGCCATGGTTTATCAAAAAACATGTTTTGTCTATGACTGTCTTTTTTACATAACCAGAAACAGCAATACAAATACAGGATTAGCAAAAAATATTAGATTCATTTTGGTCTTTGGTACATGTGTTTATACTTTTTCTTTCGGTTTTTACCCTGGACCCGTGCGTTTGTCTGTTTGTATGTGTTTTGTTTTGTGTATTTTATTTATTTTTCTCTATTTATTTCTGTATTTATTTCCGTATTTCTCTTAATGATATGCAAATCATGGGGTGGGCCGGGATGCCTCTGCTGTAAGCTCATTGGTTAATCTTTTTCCTTGCTCCATAGCTTGTCCAGCGTAGGCGGCCATGTTGAGATCACTGTGTTCTCGCTATAGCCATGTCAGAACAAAAAAATAAAAATAAAAATCTCAAGCATTCTTCCATATGCAACAATTGCATTGTGTGTGTGTGTGTGTTTTTTTTTTTTTTATATACAAATAAGTAAATTATCCTTTGCTCTGTGTCGTTTCTGAGTGTAGAAAACGACCGGACTCTGGGCCTGTAGAACGAGCGCCTGTACCCCCCCCCACACTCCCCTCCACACTCGCGCCACAGTTTGTACCATGAATATGGCTCGGTCAGTGCTGTGGCCGCGTCCACTTTTCAGTCTCTCTCAGCCTTCACTGAAAGCTCCAGTGTCTGAGTGTAAAACACACACTTCGAATGCGGGGTTTTTCGGCGGACTTCAGCGCTTTGTAGTAAAATACACACGAGCACCTGTCACTGCCTTTGCCAAAAGCCTCTCACGAGCCGGACAGGGAAATGAGCATAAAGAGGCTGACATCTTGGACTCTCAGAGCGGAGGATAATCGTTAATACTCCTCTATCATATCAGCTATGTTTTATTTTGTGCCCAGACAACACGGGAGCCGTGCGCAATTGCGCACGAGCGCAGTTAGAGGGAACCGTGCCTGAGAAAGAGAGAGAGGGATGAAATACCACCGGTCCCCTCTCTCGGTGTCATGGGAGGAAATAGTTACTTGTTGGAGTTTGGGCTGGTCTTTAATCGGGCAGAAAGTGCAAAAGTAACACTGCGCAAATGAGTGATACGTAGCCTATCTTTGCCCAATTTGTAGTGGCTTCTCGTGGTTATACGGCGAATACCTGCGTATCGCGTAGGCTACACCACTGATTGTAGAGCAGTGTTGTTTGTTGTTAGCGAGAACACAGTGATCTCAACATGACCGGCTATGCTGGACAAGCTATGTAGCAAGGAAAAAGATTAACCAATGAGCTTACAGCAGAGGCATCCCGGCCCACCCCATGATTTGCATATCAATAAGAGAAATACGGAAATAAAAACATAAAAAAATAGAGAAAAAATTTTTTTTTAAATAAATAATAAATACAGAAAGAGAAATAAATGTATAAATGCATAAATAAATGTATGAATAAATACAAAAATAAATAAATACATATATAAATAAATAAATACAGAAATAAATAAATATATAAATAAGTATATAAATACAGAAATACAGAAATAACTGCACTTATTCTCATAATTGCATGCATTTCCTTGCAAATTTTATCTTTTTAAAATGTATTTATTTCTGTATATATTTATTGTTTTGGCAGCCACGGTCCTCCATACTTAGAATCCAGAACAGATAAGCGAGAGGCCTCAGTATTGTTGCTGTAAATGGACCTTTTTTGCCATTTGTATAACTGGGTTTTATTTATTGAGTTTGAATTCTGACATTGCGTGTGATTGTAAGATTATTTTACTTCATATGTTTTATAATATCTGTATGTCTTTGGGGTTGCACTGCTTTGTTGTGCTTTATAAATACATTTTTTTGGTGATGATTATAATGTAGTATTTCCTAAAAGAACGATAGGAGGATGAACTGCAGTTTACACAAATGACTTATTTACACAGAGAAAGATTCACTGAGACGAGGCGTACAGTAGAAATCGATAACTGCTGTTTCTTGCATTGGACGCCGCTTACACGCCTCCAGCCATTTGTGCCGCTTCAGTCACAGGCAGGCGCTATGGAAACTAAAATGTCAAGCTGTCATCTGTGTTTACTCATATGAATTTATACATATCTCTAAAGATCAAAGTTACATTTGACTATCTTTTACAGAACCATAGAAATATAATATCATATTATATGAATATAAATACAATTTCCATAATATAATGTCCATAATAAATGTGGAAGTTATTGTGAACCATCTGGTACAGGTGTTCATATGTTTTCTTATGGTTTTTTTTCTTGGATGTGTGTGTTTCGTTATGTGTTAAAAAGTTGTAGAACTAAGACTGAGGCTGTAGAACCATGGCTGAGGTTGATGAACAAGAATTGAGGTTGTAGAACCAAGACTGAGTTTGTAGAACCAGGACTAAGGCTGTAGAACCATGACTGAGGCTGTAGAACCAGGACTGAGGCTGTAGAACCAGGACTGAGGCTGTAGAACCAGGACTGAGGATGTACAACCAGGACTGAGGCTGTAGAACCAGGACTGAGGATGTACAACCAGGACTGAGGCTGTAGAACCAGGACTGAGGATGTAGAACCAGGACTGAGGATGTACAACCAGGACTGAGGCTGTAGAACCAGGACTGAGGCTGTAGAACCAGGACTGAGGCTGTAGAACCAGGACTGAGGATGTAGAATCAAGTCTACGAGCTCTAGGAGCACGTAGACTTGATAAGCACCACGAGCTGGAGCTGGCCCTTGCACCTCGGCGCACAGGGCTGGTGGTAAATTTGGATGATCAGATCCGAGCTGTATTGTGGAGCACAGGGACTGGCCTCCTGCTGGTGCCCAGAGTCAGGACTTAACATGGTAAGGCAGCAGTTCAGATTTACAGTCTTCCTGATACTGGCTTCTACTCTGACAATGTTCAAATCCAGGTTAAACCGTTCTGTTTAGCAGCGCATACAACTGAAGGATAATATCTTCACTCTTTTTAGATTTTTTTTGATTATTTAATGCCTTGTGTCTAATTTTGTTAAACACTTTATTGTGTGCGCATACACTTTCCTTGCCATGCTATTGTGGGGCCAGTTCAATCAAAGCTTGAATAATAAAAAATAGCATCTTCAAACCAGTGCAAAGATGCTTAAATCAGCGTTTTGAGCATCTGTATGTATGTTGTGTACAAAAGGCAAAAGGCTTCCAGGTCTCTCCGCTGTAACCCCTTTGTTCTTCCACATTATATTTAAAGGTCATACCAGCCCTGGGGGTTTAAGGTTTGGAGTAGCACTAATCCTGGTTCTTTAATAACAGAGTTTCACAGGTGTTATTGGAGTATTTGTGATAGCGAGGCCCACTCGGGTCAATGGTGAAGCCGACGCCCCAAGGAGTATATCTTGATAATTCTGCCTTTTACCAGTGTCTGGTAATTGGACTACAGTGACGCCAGCTCCTGTGTTTTTTTGCTGTCGTTTTTTTTGTTGGTTTTTTTTGGTAATATGCTAAAATAGAAAAAGATAAGTGCATTCTTGAAGATGCAGCCTGATGCATTCTGGCCGTCTGTGGTTTCAGGGAATCGCACCCACGACAAGAGGGTGACTCAAAGAAACATGTTTACACGCTGCTTAATTTACACTTTTTTTAATAAAAGTGAGTTGGTCTACCTTTAACTGACTTTGTGACTTTTATTGTATCTGTATCTATTCAATGTACAATTCAATTGCAGCTTTCGGCCTCTTGGTAACCAACATTCCATGGCAGGTAAAGCCAGTTTCCTCAAGGAGCTCATGGGCCTGGAAAGGTTTTGGACTGGTTTTCCTCCAGAAATGAGCGAGCGCTAGCACACACTGTTTGCTGTTAGCAGTTAGCATAGAGTTCTAGTAGTTTCGGCAATCTGACTGTGAACAAATGAAAAACTGTATGGTAAACATTAGTGCCGCATTAACCCTCCACATTTGTTTTTTGTTCAGCTCTGAAGAGTTCAACCTCGTTCCATGAGCAGAAGCGAAGCCTGGAGCGTGCACGGGTGTGTGAGTTACACTGAGACTGCAGAGCACATGGAAGGCATAAGCTAAAAGGAATAAGTGATGAGTTGGTTCACGCTATGCATGTTTAATACAGGCTTTACAGGAGAACAACAAAATCTCTTGTTATCAAAGATTCTCAGATCACTGACACTGTAGCTTATAAACTATTATTATTCACAATTTACCCATGTTTTAAATACGAGGTGTTTACAGATATCAGTCCTGTTTGACTTCAGCCAACGTCAGAGGCAACAATCTTTTCTTTCCACATAAACAATAGATATATATAGATACGTTATTGATCCCCGTAAGAGAAATTCAGGTGTCCAGTAACAAACAAACAAGACATCCGAGCAAACACACGTCAGCAGAGATGGTGTAGGCCCTGGGTCACAGCAGCAATGATATGTTCTGGTGGATGGACCATGCATGTCCCTGATTCACCTGTAAATCACCCTATCCCTCTAAACTTGTGAAGATCAAAGCTATGGTCAGATTAATCTTCATTAGTGGATGTTCATATGAAATACACAGAGATTCCGGAATAGCTCTTTAAATCATCCCGTCATCCAGATAAAAACCCAAGTAAAGGTAGCCTAGCAAAGGATAGAAAGGAAACGTTGTGATAGATAGATAGATAGAGCATAGTAAATAGTCAACAAACAAACAAACATACCAAGTATCCTTTTTCTGGTGATATGTCATAAAGGGAATGGAGAATAGAAGTAGAAAACATAGTCAATCTCTCTCCTATTCCAAAGCCGTCTCAAAACTGTGTCATTTCTCAGACGGAGGACTATCTGAAGAGGAAGATCAAGAGGCGTCCGCACCGTACCGAGCTGATCAGAATGAACATCCTGGAGGGTGAGGGGCCTGCTCCTGTCTGTGAGACGCGGAGGTGTTTCCACGTTAACATTCATAAGGAGTGTGTGTTTACAGGGGTGATCCCCGAAGAGGCCGAGCTGGAGAAAAGAGCTCGTCTCACGGACGATCTGAACAATAAGATTTCCCAGCGGCCCGGGCCCATGGAGCTCATTCACAAGAACATCCTGCCAGTGCACGCCAGCATCAAGAGTGCCTTCACGGGTGAGCCGGCCCCTGGTGGGCCCCTTGCACCACAGCATGAAGTGTTTTGAGTTAACTGATCCTGTTCCAGCCGCAATACGACAATGCGTTTCTTGTATTAATAAAAAGGACCAATTTATTTTTACTTCATTTAACATAGCAGTATTATTATCATCCATCAAAAGACCTGTAGCTCAATGTGGGTGAATTATCATTAAACATTTAACTCGGTATTCAACAATTCTTTGGGCAGCATGGTGGCCCAGTGGATAGCGCATGTGACGTTTGCACGTTCTCCCCGTGTCTGCGTAGGTTTCTTCTGGGTGATAAGGTTTCCCCTACCACTAAAAACATGTACAATAGGTTTGGCATGCACCTCCTGAATGGCGACCCCTCTCCCATGTGTGTGAGATGAGAGACAAATGGCCACAACAATTGTAAAGTGCTTTATGACTCTGGTCTGTGAAAGGCACTATATAAATAAAGATTACTTACTAACTTACCCACTTTTTGGGCCATGGCTCCCCTTTGAGAAACTGATACAAAAATCAAGTAAATTAAATTAAATTAATATTTGTAAAGGCTTTACAAATATTAATTTAATTAATTTAGGGCTTTACAGTAAAGCCCTAAATCACAACGGCAGTCATCTCTGAAAGCATTACAAAGTTGGCGATTCGCAAACAGCAGATCCGAGAATAAAACAGTTCCAACACAGAAAATGCAATAAGGACAAACACATAGGAGCCATTGGTCCTTAGGGAGCAGGATGCACTGTCCATAAATGTTAATAAATGCCCATACACATTTATTAACAAGTCATTCTCATCACAGTGTTATTACATAGAAAATCAAAGGAGCAGTCTTTCTAATCTCTCTAATCCCCATTTCCAGCAGAGGGCGCATGAACACATGAGTTGAATGAACCGAGGATAACAATCGACTTTAACAGGAGCTTTGTTGAAGTAAATGCAGGCTATCTACACATGTTCATAATGTTGGGATTGCATAAGTTTAGTCCTGGTTTTGTCTCTTCTGACAAAATTGGCAAACATTTATATTGTAAACACTTGGACAGTAATGTGCTGTTGGGTAATATACAAATCAGATATTATTTGGTAGTGGAAAAAGTCTATAGCCCTTGCATATTGCATACACAAAACCTTCTATTTTAGCTCTGCAAAGTCGTGAAATATGCATTAAGTTAAATCCATCGAAAATGTATCTGAATGATTTTCCTGATTTTTCAAAGATAATTGGTGTAAGAGATTTTCTGGATTGATTCGCTTTTTCCCTGAGAATCCGTACAGAGATCCAGTTTTACACCAAATGGAGTTTTTTTTATTGGACAGCTGGCATTTAAAACAGCTGGAAGAGGGCTCACAATTGCACATTGCTGTTGCTAATTATGAACATTCAATTACATAAGTGATTGAGCAAGCCATTAGTGGGACGTGAGATGTTATTACAGACACTAGCAGATTATGCAGCCTTCAAGATGTCGCCTTTGATTCATGTCTCATTATTAAGGCTGTTCTCGTGGCATTAGCTTTGTATGACAGATTAACACGTTTTGGGCAGTTGTTATCGGCTGCTTGTTTGAATTTTATGTCCTAATTGTTATAGAGACAATTTTGTACTTTTCATTAAAGGGGACCTAACTTGATTCTGTTTTCTATAATGATAATCTACTGTATGTTGCTGTCTCAGCTGACTCTTTTTAAATGTATAGTTCATGTGAAATATTTAGACTGAGCTATAACAATGTTAGGAAAGAAACCGCCTCCTTCTGTCCCCTTAGCCCCACCTCTTTGACAGAGCCTCAGTGGAATGTACTCACTCCAAAGTTGCGATTATCGCCAGAGGGGTGCTCCATATATCACAGATTTAGAAAATTTAGAAAAATATAGAGAAAGTAAGTAAAACCCAGGGGAAGTTAAGGAGAAGGTACACTTTTACGTATCCCATACTTGCATGTGAAAGCCAGATCCCGTCAGTCCTCTGAGGCTGTGCAGGGCAGGGCCTGGTTAGAACTGTGGGGCTGACTTTCAACCATGGATCTATAATAATAACTGGATAGGGTATTACTAGCTTAAAGCTGTCCCACCCATGCGCACAGGGGGCGACCATGGTACTGCAGACTAAATTCACGAGGGCTGCCCAGAAAAAAGTCCCATAGAACTCAACGTATATTAAAACAGCACGACCTCAGCTGACAGAGAACCTACAGCTTTCATAAAGATCAGATTTCGTGGGGATTTTAGTGTCCCTTGTCATCCTGAACTTTTTTTCTTCTTAAATCCTTCGGTTTTCTTTAAATCCACACTTTACTGCCTCAAACTCTGCTCCCTGCCTTCCCGCTCTGGCTCTGCTTTCCACTGCTCTGATTGGTCAGAGCGCGGCCGAGCCCCTCTGTGCGCGTGCATGAAAGCCACACACACACGTTTGGTGTGACGCTAATCCACTGCGCAGAACCGGGAGGAGCAGACGATGCCCAAATACAGGCGAGTTCAGCTAATCTCCCGGGCTCCATGAAGTCACATGCGCTACTGAGCACAAGCCATTCATTTGAATAGGGCGCCATCTTGGATCGCCGGGGCTTGCTTTCAACTCACACCTCCAGTGTAGCTTCTCCCAGGTCCTGGAGGAGAAGGGGGACATTGAGTCTGAGTGAACCATGTTCTCCACCTCTAACGCCGGCAGTAAGGGAGTGCGTCAGGCTGAAGAAGGAGTCCTATTGGGCCATGATGGTTCAATGTAACTCCTGAGGCAGCTGTCCAGTACCAGATGGCCAAGCATGGGCTATTGCAGAGGCAAAAACCCGGGATTAGGAGGAGTTCAGCGAGTCCATGGAGCATGACTATCAGTCGGCCTCAAAGAGAGGGTGGCAAACCATCCAGCGCCTCAGGAGGGGGAAGCAGTTTGCCAACACCATGTACGGTGCGGGTGGAGAGCTGCTGACCTCGACTGGGGATATTGTTGGGCGGTGGAAGGAATATTTTGATGTTCTCATCAATCCCCCCAGCACATCCGTTCTGAAGGCTGAGGATGTTGTGGTGGAGACTTCCATCTCCCTGGTTGAGGTCACCAAGGTGGTTAGCAGCCTCCTTGGTGGTAAGGCTCAGAGAGTGGATGAGATCCACCCTGACTATCTGTCTGTGGATGTTGTAGGACTGTCTTGGCTGACTCGTCTCTGCAGCATCACGTGGCGATTGGGGGCGGTGCCAATGGAGTGTCAGACCGGGGGGTTGTCCCTCTCTACAAGAAAGGGGACCGGAAGGTGTGTTCCAATTATTGTGGGATCACACTCCTCAGCCTCTTTGGTCTACTCCATGGTACTGTTGAGGAGAGTTCGACCAATGGTCAAATCTCGGATTCAGGAGGAGCAGTGTGGTTTTCATCCTGGCCGCGGAACACTGGACCAGCTCTATACTCTCAATTGGATACTTGAGGGTTCATGGGAGTTCGCCCAACTTGTCCACATGTGCTTTGTGCTCTGTATGACCGGAGCCAGAGCTGCGTTCTGTTCGCCGGCAGTCAGATCCGTAGTAAAGAGGGAGCTGAGCCGAAAGGCAAAGCTCACGATTTACCGGTCAATCTTTGCTCCCTCCCTCACCTACACTCATGAGCTTTGGGTAATGAATGAAAGGACGAGATTGTAGGGTGTCCCAAAACCACCCTTGAGCGTAAGTGAAGTCTGGAGCTCACTCGCGAGCGAGGGTGATCCCAAGATGCATTACGATAGCTGTTGGTAAAGTAGCTGTCGGGCAAAGCCGCGCCGCAATGAAAGAAAACAACAAGAAACACCCGCACGCAAGTTTGTGTGGAACAGGAGGAAGCCCCGAAGCGAGTTATTCAGAGTTCCGTGTGTTGGTGCGTCACTGAGGCTTCAGAGACGTGGTGCATGTTATTATTATAGAGCCATGATGTAGTTCAGAGCATCGCTTTGACATAGTTTGCTTTGTGATCCGTGGGACCGCGGCTGTACCCGTCTGTCTCTGTGTGGTACGTCTCTGTGCGTGTACGTGTATTTACATGTGTCTGTCTCTGTGTGGTACGCGCGTGTGTCTGTCTGCGGTATGTCTCTGTGCGCGTATATACATGCGTCTGTCTGTGTGCATGTGTGTCTGCTTCTGTGTGTGTACATGTGTGTCTGTATGCGTGTGTGTACGTCTGTCTCTGAGTGCGTGATGTGCAGTAGTTCTGTACCTAAGTATAGCAAATCTTCATATGAAATAGAATTAAAAATGTCTCATTTTATTAAATACTGTGTTTCATAAAGTCATGTCTGTGTCAGATCTTATATGTGGTAAAATCAGACACATTGATAATGTGTGATGTGGAACACGTCTGCTGCCTCATTTGCATATTGTCCCCTTGATCCAGGAGTGTCCCAATTCTCAGGGAGAATGTTGTGAGTGCACTCACCACTGGGAAGACACTTTTGTGGTGAGGGCACTCACACCTAAGGGCAAGGGTGAGAATTGGGACGGGGCCTTAGATTGCTGCCCGCGCGACCCGGCAACAGATGAAGCTGAGTAAAATGGATAGATGAATGGATGGGTGCACAAACAGATATGAGGAAACTGTGACGGAGCGCCAGTGACTGCTCCGTCATGAACTGTGTGGTGCTCTCTCCCTGCGCTGAAGAGAGGAGCGCGTCTGCGTGCGTGTGGCGCGGCATGCCGGCAGGTCCGCGCTAGTAACCGCACGGCCCTGCATCAACACAAACTCTTCCCCTGCCAATACTATCCCCGTAGCGCACAAGGGTGCACACTTGCTGCCTACACACACATCTCATCTTCCCCCATACACAACTGACCTGCTGCTTGTCTCGGTCCACTGGCCAAACCGAGGCACTTCCTGGTCGCACCATATATAGCGCAGGGCGCGCGCATGTGACTGGCCAGAGGACTCTAATTTCTTAAAGTATTAAAAATGTGTTTTTTTTTCTATTTGTGCATTGCTATATGGGGCAATGGAGAGGCATGTTCACACTGAGGAACAGGGAGGGAACTATGTGTGGGATTTCGTTGTTTTTCTGTTTAGAAGAAAAACCCCTGTTAATTTATTAATGGGTTAGCCCAGGGGCGGGGCTAACTAGTTAAAAGAGTGCGTGCTCACTCCGGAGGAAGGTCTGTCAGTCTGTGAGTGAGCTGGAGTGAGCTGGACTGAAATCGAACCCAAACTGAGCTGGCTGTAAGTCCTGTTTTTGTGAGTCTGTTGTTTTTTTTTTTTGCTGCACTGTAAATATTTTCCACTCTGCACTGGTTTGGTGTGAAAATAAAGTCACCACAATTCATTTTTCCGACTGAGCCATCATTATTCCCATCATTTTTAAACGAACCTTCACATTTGGTGTCAGAAGTGGGATGGCTAGTCGGCGTATGAAGACTTTTGCTAAGCGCACAGGACTGCGCTCAGGGAAGCTGGAAACAGTGCAGGATGACCCAGCCTGGGTCACAGACGAGGAAGACGCAGGGGGCGCTACTGCTCCTCTCCTTAAACAGCCAAGACCGGGAGAAGCCAGCGCGCAGGAGATGCTCGCCATGATGCGGTCTTTCATGGAGGGTCAGGAGCGGCGCGAAGACCGGTTCCTGGCGGAGCTCAGAGGATTGAGGGACTCGTTTCCAGTACCAGACTGTACCAGGTCGCCATCAGAGGGCACAGAAACGAGTATGAGACTGGATCTGCCTACTCCAGCACCCCGCAGACGCCGCAGTTCCGCCGAACCGCAGAGGCCCAGTTTGGGATCGGAGAGGGTGCGGTCCCGACCGGAAAGTCGACCCGCCGGGGACCCAAAGATTCCCCAGTACCTGGCCGGGGAGGACATTGAAAATTACCTCCTCCGATTCGAGAGGATTGCCAAAACCTGGGGTTGGCCAGAGTGTGAGTGGGCGTGTCGTTTGGTGCCACTACTCTCTGGGAAGGCACTCGAAGCGTACACCGCTATGGACGAGGAGCGGGCTCACACATATTCGGATCTTAAGGACGCTTTGCTCACAAAATTTGACATATCCCCAGAGACCTACAGACAGAAGTTCCGGACGGTGACGATTCCTGCTGGAGAGAACCCTGCGGAGACGTACCACCGCCTCAAGGGGCTCTACCGCCGATGGATCCGCCCGGAGCAGCACACGAAGGAGCAGATCGGAGAGCAGATCATCCTGGAGCAGCTTCTGCGTGTTTTCCCTGCAGATATCCGCACCTGGGTGAAGGAGCACGACAGAGGGCCTAGCGGCGGCTAAACTAGCGCAGCAGTACCTCAACGCTCGGAGAGGAGGCCCGGCGCCTTACCAAGGTGGTCCCGGACGTCAGACTCCAGCACAGACCAGCTCTGCCAGAGTCCACACACAGCAGTCTCCAGACTCCAACCATGCAGCCAGCCAGCGCGGTCCCGGTAAGGACTTTGTGTGTTTTTATTGCCAGCAGTTGGGGCACAAAGCCTCTGTATGCCCAATAAAAAAAGCTAAATTGACTGGCGCATGTTACACACCCCGTGCAGAGGACTTAAGTGCTGTAGGCAGGCGTCAGCGCTTCAAAGAAGTCTCTATTAATGGAGATCCTGTGACTGCCCTGATTGACTCTGGGAGCTATATGACACTGATTCGGAGGGATTTAGTGCCAACGGGCCAGGTGGATTATAGCAGAAAGGAGGACATTTTCTGTGTACACGGTGACAGACATTCTTACCCAACAGCAGAACTCACACTAGTGGTCAATGAGCAGCCCTATTTAGTGACTGTGGGGGTGGTAGAAGGGTTACCTGTAGCAGCTATTTTGGGTTGGGATATACCTGTGCTGTTGGACATACTGCGGGAAGAGGGACCCAAGGACAGTGACTGTGGAAGGGGGTTTTCTGGACTGGTAACTACTCGTTCACAGGCTAAAGCGGGGGGTAAGCCAGTTCAGAGAGTACCAGAGCCTGAACTTGAGCCATTTTCCACATTGGACTCTAGTTTATTTGAAGGGGGAACAAAGGGGCCAAGAAAGTGTCGCAAGCAGCGGCGCTTCGAGAAAGGGCTAAAGCGGGCAGAGCCAAACTGTCAGGACTTTTTGTGGGAAGTTCCGGCGGACATTGGGGCAGTGCAAAGAGCGGACGCAACATTAAAATCACTGTTTGCGAAAGTGATTGGGGGACTAGATATGGCAAAGGGGGACAAGGATTGTTTTATTGTTGACAGTGCTATTTTGTATGCAGTGGCAGACGGTGTCAAGCGCCTCGTGGTGCCTGTGTCCTGCCGGCCAATGATTATGCACCTGGCACACACCTTGCCTTGGGCTGGTCATCTGGGCCGCAACAAAACCCATTTACGCATAGCCTCGAGGTTTTATTGGCCGTCTATGTATACAGATGTCCAAAACTACTGTAAATTCTGTCCTGTCTGCCAGAAAACTAGTTTTGTTCGCCAATCTGACCGTGCGTACCTCCAACCTATGCCTGTCATTTCCACCCCATTTCGCCGCATAGCAATGGACATTGTAGGGCCCTTAGTTCGGAGCAGTGGAGGCCACCAGTACATCCTGGTCCTCTGCGATTATGCCACACGGTTCCCCGAGGCGTTCCCCTTGCGCACCGTTACTGCCCCTGCTGTGCTGCGGTGTCTTGTTCAGTTGTTTTCCAGGGTTGGGGTCCCGGACGAGATTGTGACGGACCAGGGGACCAACTTCACCTCCCGCCTGATGCAGCTCTTCCACCGCCAGCTGGGAATCTCTGCGATCAAGACCACCCCGTACCACCCACAGACTGACGGTTTGGTCGAGAGGTTCAACCAGACGCTGAAGAGGATGCTGCAGAAATTCGTGGCCGATACCGGACGGGACTGGGACCAGTGGCTACCCTACCTGCTCTTCGCCTACCGAGAGGCACCCCAAGCCTCCACCGGTTTCTCCCCGTTCGAGCTGCTCTATGGATGGGATGTCCAGGGTCCGCTAGACCTGCTACTGAAGGCCTGGGAGGCTCCCGCCTCGACCACCAGCGATTGCCATATTGTCCAGTTTGTGTTGGAGATGCGTGATCGGCTGGCCAAGTATCGGGAGGAGGCGGAGGTCAACCTACGCGCTGCCCAGCGGTCCCAGAAGGCGTGGTACGACCAACAGGCCCGACATCGCGAGTTCCAGCCCGGTCAGAAGGTCCTGCTACTCCTGCCATCGTCCACCCACAAGCTTCTGGCGAAGTGGCAGGGGCCATACTCTGTGGTCAGGAAGATGGGCCCTGTGACCTACGAGATCCACCACCCAGAGAAGAGGAAAGCGAAGCAGACCTACCACGTCAATCTGCTGAAGGAGTGGAAAGAGGCGGCAGTTCCAGCTTCCATGGCGTCCCTGCTGGTGACCGAGGTAGACCGTGACGGGGAGGAAGAATCTACGCTTTCCGACCTCCAGCGGCCTGCTGAACCAGCTCTGGGTCATCTCACCGCCACCCAGTCGACCCAGCTGTGTCAGGTTTTCCAGGGGGTCTCCAAGCTCTTCGCTGCCAGTCCAGGAAGGACTACCCTCGTCGAGCACGTCATCCGGCTGAAAGACAAAGGCCCAGTTCGCCAGAGGTCTTATCGGGTTCCCCAACATCTTGTCGCCCAGCTGTTGACGGAGGTGGAAGATATGCAGCGCCTTGGTGTGATCGAGCCATCCCAGGCAGAGTGGTGTAGTCCGGTGGTCATCGTCGTGAAGAAAGACGGGTCGCTCCGCATCTGCATCGACTTCCGGAAGCTCAACGCCATGTCAGAGTTTGACGCCTACCCGATGCCCCGGATAGACGACCTCCTGGAAAAGATTGGCCGGGCCCGGTTCATCACGACCCTCGACCTCTGCAAAGGTTACTGGCAGGTGCCACTAGAAGTGACCAGTCGTCCCTACACGGCGTTCCAGACCCCTGCTGGCCTCTTCCAGTTCACAATGATGCCATTCGGTCTCCATGGAGCACCCGCCACATTCCAGAGACTGATGGACCGTGTGCTCAGGGGCTGTGAGGACTGCAGTGCTGCGTACCTGGACGACGTGGTTATCTTCAGCGACACCTGGGAACAGCACCTGCGTCATCTGGAGAGAGTCCTCGGCCAGATAGAGCGGGCGGGACTGACACTTAACCCGTCAAAGTGTCAGTGGGCCAAAGAAGAGGCTAAGTATCTCGGCTACCGGCTGGGGCGAGGAGAAGTCCGACCACAGATGGACAAAGTAGAGGCCATCCGCAGCTGTCCACGCCCTCGCACAAAGAAGGAGGTGAGGTCCTTCTTGGGCTTGGCCGGCTGGTATCGTCGGTTCGTCCCACAGTTCGCCACCATCGCAGCTCCACTGACCGCGCTGACGATGAAGGACCAGAGGAACCCGGTCGTCTGGAACGAGGACTGCGAGACAGCCTTCCAGGCCCTCAAATCCTGCCTCTGCTCATCGCCGGTGCTGCGGAGCCCCGACTTCGAACAGCGGTTCCTGGTCCAGACTGACGCTTCTGCCGTGGGACTAGGAGCGGTCCTGGCTCAAGGGGACCCTGGAGAAGAACGTCCTGTACGGTACCTGAGCCGGAAGCTGCTGCCGCGAGAGACCAGGTACTCTACCGTGGAGAAGGAGGGCCTGGCCATCAAGTGGGCTCTGGAGAGCCTGCAGTACTACCTGCTGGGAAGAGAGTTCGACCTCGAGACGGACCACCGGGCGCTGACTTGGATGAATTCCATGAAGGACCATAACAGTCGTCTCACCCGCTGGTACCTCTCCCTCCAGCCGTTCCAGTTCCAGATCCGCCATCGAGCTGGGAAGACCAATGTCGTGGCAGACTACCTGTCCAGGTTGCCGCACATCGTCAACCTCGAGGAGGAGGGGGATAATGTGACGGAGCGCCAGTGACTGCTCCGTCATGAACTGTGTGGTGCTCTCTCCCTGCGCTGAAGAGAGGAGCGCGTCTGCGTGCGTGTGGCGCGGCATGCCGGCAGGTCCGCGCTAGTAACCGCACGGCCCTGCATCAACACAAACTCTTCCCCTGCCAATACTATCCCCGTAGCGCACAAGGGTGCACACTTGCTGCCTACACACACATCTCATCTTCCCCCATACACAACTCACCTGCTGCTTGTCTCGGTCCACTGGCCAAACCGAGGCACTTCCTGGTCGCACCATATATAGCGCAGGGCGCGCGCATGTGACTGGCCAGAGGACTCTAATTTCTTAAAGTATTAAAAATGTGTTTTTTTTTCTATTTGTGCATTGCTATATGGGGCAATGGAGAGGCATGTTCACACTGAGGAACAGGGAGGGAACTATGTGTGGGATTTCGTTGTTTTTCTGTTTAGAAGAAAAACCCCTGTTAATTTATTAATGGGTTAGCCCAGGGGCGGGGCTAACTAGTTAAAAGAGTGCGTGCTCACTCCGGAGGAAGGTCTGTCAGTCTGTGAGTGAGCTGGAGTGAGCTGGACTGAAATCGAACCCAAACTGAGCTGGCTGTAAGTCCTGTTTTTGTGAGTCTGTTGTTTTTTTTTTTTGCTGCACTGTAAATATTTTCCACTCTGCACTGGTTTGGTGTGAAAATAAAGTCACCACAATTCATTTTTCCGACTGAGCCATCATTATTCCCATCATTTTTAAACGAACCTTCACAGAAACATATAGCATCTTCTTACCTCTCAAAAACACCTTTACAGGATGGTCCAAAAGTTGGCGTGATTTTTTTTGGACCACTCTAGTTTAGCTGCTGTGAATTTTTGAAGGCACTCGTTAAATGAATGGGGTCGCGCCGGCTGACGCATGCACAGATGCGTTTTTTCACAATTTTCTTGTGGGCGGGACCACTCGCGGCCATTTTGGATAGCTCCAGTACAGCACATTTTTTGGCCCATTTGTTTGAATGGCGGAGATAGGCATGACTACGTCTGTTAATATTTACAGTCTATGGACTGTAAATGGTTTGTGTTAATAGAGCTGCTGTTAGAGAGTTTATGAATGATTTTGATTCTCTTTTACATTACATGAAAACCTGCGGTTTATTTTCCGCTGGGGCTTATATTAGAACAAAAGTACTTTCTTTTCAACTTTCGCAAGCACTGTAATTGTTTCACACATCACCGTACTACTGGCCTATTTCTGCAGACTGACAGAACAGATATTGGGGCCTTCTGTTTCCATCAATAATAAATGAGTCGTGCAGCACTTACCATGCACAGAAAGTTTCTGGGCAAAGTTGTAGAAATTCTGATACATTTGACCTGTATGCTCATCATTTATTACTCATGTATGTCAGCTGGCTCTTTTTAAATTTATTAAT